ACACTGAAATACAGGTCTTTACTACCTAAGCATCCTGAAAATGGATCCATTATGTCTCTGGTGCAGATTTCTGGTTAAAGCCAGAAAGTCTTCTCCAATATCTGAATGACTGTGGGATTGGCTGAAATCAAACTATCACTATTGGTACAAATTTGGCCAATATACAATGTATAAGGGAGATGGCTGGAATAGTATGTTTAGTAAGAAGCATTAGAATAGCATGCCTTGATCACAATAAATTGTTTGCCTGTTGAACTATATTGACTGAATTACAGCTAAATTTGCTATTTACTTTAGACTACTACAACATCAGAAAATAATTTGCTATTCCTCCAACTAATTTATGGCATTTAAAAATCAAAATGAATGCTTTATAATCCTAGTCATGAAAATTCAATACAAGTATTCAATTGTGAAAATACCTACTTTCACTCATGCTTTCTATTTGAATAGTATGGACTTTTTAAAAATAACTTCAGGTGATGGAACACTATGGATTTTGTGTTGTATTGACGGCAAACTTCATGGGCATGGACAGCATTTTCTCACATTCACACTGCAGAAAATTCCAGAAAATAACAATGATTCTCCGCAAGGTGCACTGTTGAAATCCTTGTGGATAGGTATGAACACTCACGTCATTTTACTAAAAAGTAAAGTCTCCTTTGTCCCAGAGGATTGCTCTCCCAGAGCCTGGGGATCACCATGCCTCAGGTGAGGGATGAGAACAAGATCTTTATGGTAACCGCGGACCGTGTTTGACTCGAACCCACACTGTCGGCATCATTCTGCATTGCAAACCAGCTGTCCAGCCAACCTCTCTGCATCTACTTGTCAAGTTCCCTTAAAAACTTGTATCCTTCAATAAGGTCACCTGTCATTCTTTTAAATTGCAATAAGTAGATGTCCAATCTATTCAACCTCTCATAAGACAGTTCCTCCATACCTGGTAACAGGCAAGTGAACTTTCTTTGGACTACCTCTAATCAAGTATATCTTTCCTTAGATAAGGGTCCCAAACTGATCATAATATTCCAGATGTGGTCTGACTAGTGCCTTGTACAGTTTTAAAAAGACCTTCCTACTTTTATAGTTCATTCCATTTGAAATAAAGGACTACTTTCCACTTGCCTCCTGCTGAACTTGGATGCTAGCATTTTGTGATTCATGGACAAGGAACGTAGAATACTACAGTACAGGATGAGCGCTTTGGCCCACGATGTTCGTGCTGACCATACTGCCATTCTAAACTAATCCAATATGCCTGCACATTGTTCATTTCTCTCTATTTCCTGTCTGTTCATGTGTCTAACTAAATATCTCTTAAACTTTATCATATCTGCTTCTAACATCTCCCTGGCAGTGTATTCCAGGCACCCACCACTCCCTGTGTAAAAAATAGTTGCCTCACACATCTACTTTAAACTTTCTTCCTCTCACCTTAATCCTATGCCCCTTTGTATTTGACATCTCAGTCTCGAGAAAAAGCCTCCAACTATCTGCCCTATCCATGCCTCTCATAATTTTATAGACTTCTATCAGGTTGCCCCTCAGTTTCCAACGTTCTAGTGTAAACAATTCCATCCTTTTAGCTAACACACTCCAAGAAAGGCAATATCCCAATAAATCTCTTTTGCACCCTCTCCAAAGCCTCCACATTCTTCCCATAGAGATAGCAAGAACTGCAGGTGCTGGAGTCAGAGACAACACAGTGTGGAGCTGGAGGAACACAGCAGGCCAGGCAGCATCAGAGAAGCAGGAAAGTTGATGTTTCGGGTCAGGACTCTTCTTCAGAAATGGGGAGGGGGAAGGGAGCTGGGAAATGAAGAGAGAGAGGAGTGGTGGGGCTGGGGAAGGTCGGTGGGATGGTGATAAGTGAGTGCAGGTAGGGAGTGGTGGGGATTTGTCAGTGAGGTGGGAGGGGTGGATAGGTGGGAGAGAAGATAGACAGGTTGTGTCAGGTCAAGGAGGTGGGGATGAGAGGGAGGCTTTGTACAGCACCTGTGCCCTATTCACGACAAATGACAACACCTTCCAGTCGCGAACCATTTCAACTCCTCCTCCCACTCCCTGGGCGACATGTCCATCCTGGGCCTCCTCCAGTGTCACAATGACCAGGAAACTGGAGGAGAAGCACCTCATATTCCCGACCCAAAACCTCAACTTTCCTGCTCCTCTGATGCTGCCTGACCTGCTGTGTTCCTCTAGCTCCACACTGTGTTGTCACACATCTTTCCTACAGAGTGGAACCAGAACTGCACCCAGTGCTCAAAATGTGGCCTAACTAAAGTTTTATACAGCTGCAACATGACTTACCAACTTTTATACTCAGTGCCCTGAACAATGAAGGCAAGCATGCCATACACCTTCTTTACCACGTTATTCACCACCTTATTCACTTGTGTTGCCACTTGCAGGGAACTATGGACTTGCACCCCAAGATCCCTCTGTATATCAATTTTCTTAAGGGTCCTGCATTTACTGTGTACTTTCCTCTTGCATTTGACTTCCCAAAAGGCATCATCTCAAACCTATTCAGATTAAACTCCATCTGCCATTTCCCTACCCAACTTTCCAACTGATCTATATCCTGCTGTATCCTTTAACAAACTCCCTCACAATCCACAACTCCACTAATTTTCATGTCACCTGCAAATGTACAAATCAGGCCACCTACATTTTTGTCCACTTCATTTATATATATATTACAAATAACAGAAGTGCCTGCACTGATCACTGTAGAACACCACTGGTCACAGACCCACAATCAGACAAACACCTCTCTCCAACTACCTTCTGTTTTCTATGACCAAGCCAATTTTGTACCCAACTTATCAATTCACTACTGATTGCATGTGACTTAACCTTCTGGACCATCCTACTATGAAGAACCTTGTCAAGTGCTTTAGTAAAGTCCATGTAGACAACATCTACTACCGTCCCTCCATCATTAATCATCTTTAGCACTTCCTCAAATAACTCAATTAAGTTTGTGTGACAAAACCTTCCCCACACAAAGCCATGCTGACTAACCCTAATAAGTTCATTCTTTTCCAAATGTGAATAAATCTTGTCTCTAAGAATCTTCTCCAATGATTTCCCTACCATTGATGTAAAGCTCACTGGCTTTATTTTCCTGGATCATCCCTTCTGCCCTCCTTAACCAAAGGAACAACATTAGCTAATCTCCAGTCTTCTGGGACCTCACCTGTGGCTACAGAGAACATAAAGATATCTGTCAAGGCCACAGCAATCTCCTCCCTCAACTCCTTCAGCATGTGGGATAGATTCCATCAGCCACAGGAACCTATTTACATCAATGTTTTTCAAGATACCAAACACCACCTCCTTTATATTGACAGGCCCTAGAATATCAACATATCCCTCCTTAATCTTGCCCTAATGTCCTTCTCCTTGGTGAATATTGATGTGAAGTCCTCATTAAGGACCTCACCCACTTTCCCTGGCTCCATACATAAATCCCTTCCTAGGTCCTTGAATGGACCTACCCTTTCCCTAGTTACTCTCTTGCTCCTAATACATGTTTCAACTGCATTGGGATTCTCCTTAATCTTACTTGCCAAGGACATTTCATGGCCCCTTTTAGCCCTCCTAATTCCGGCTTCTTCAAGGGCCTTGTCTCATTTCAGTTTCCTAAACCTTACATGTGCTTCCTTTTTTATTTTTGACTCCTAAATCCCTCTGTTCTGTAGTTTCTACAGACTTTCTCCATTTAAATAATATTGAGCTCCTCTACTCTTTCTGCCAAAATGCACAGCATCACATTTCCCACATATTCTATCTGATAAGTTTTTTGTCCACTTGCTTAACCTGTCTATATTCCTCTGCAGAATATGTCATCCTCACCTTTTACCTCTCCAAGTACTTTTGTGTCATCCACAAACTTGGCTACAGCACATTCAATTTCCTGATCCTAGTCATTAATATATATTGTAAATAAATGTAGCCCCACCACTGATCCCTGTGGCACTCCACTAGTTACAGGTTGCCATCCTGAAAATCTCCTTATCATAACTCTGTCTTCTATTAGTTGGTGAATGCTCTATCCATGCTAAGATACTACCATCAACATGACAGTTGAGAGCCCTTAAAGAGAGAGGAGTCAATTCATTCCTTTTCACCTGGTTACAACAAACCTGAAATTTAAACTATTTTATCTGTTGTGGAATGTCTTGGTAATATTGAGTATTACATGTGATTTTGGTCTCCTAAGATAAGAAAGGTTACACTTACAGGTAGCAAGAACTGTAGATGCTGGAGTCAGAGTCAATACAGTGTAGAGCTGGAGGAACACAGCAGGTCAGGCAGCATCAGGGGAGCAGGAGAGTCAATGTTTCGGGTCTGGACCCTTCATCAGGAAGGTTACACTTGCCATTGAGGGTGAGCATGCAGGGGCTCACTGGGCTAATACCAGGTATGAGATGATTTGTCCTCTGAGGAGAGGTTGGTTTATCTAGGTCTGTGTTCATCTAGGTCTGTGTTCACTAGGGTTTAGAAGGATAATAGGTCAGCACAACATCCTGGGCCGAAGGGCCTGTTTCCTGTTCCCTGTTCTCGGAGTACATTTAAGGAAGAGATAAACAGATTTTTAAGTAGTAACGGATTGAAGGGTTATGGAGGTTGGGTAGGAAGGTGTATTTGAGGCCAAGATGAGATCAACCATGATCATATCAAACAGTGGAACAGGCTTGAGGGGCTGAATTGCCTATTGCTGCTCCTAGTTCTTATGTTCAAATTCTAGGGTTGCAGAAAAAAGTACACGTCATCACAACATTTTCCAAAGTGGAAAATTGAGTTGTGAAATCTAAAATTTGTTTATTAATCCTTCCATGCATTTATACACGCTCAGTTCCCACAGACTCTGTTCAACCAAAATTCATAATGGAGATAAAACAGATGGTCAGTAGATAGGATTAGCAAGTGCATTATTTGCAGATGTTTCAACGTTTGTGACTGCAAACCAGTAGAGACAAAAGTCAGCATTTTTAGTTATGTTTATTTCATGAAATAAACTATTCAATCTGACTTCATTTATGCTCATGAAGCTTACGTTTAGCTTGAAAGCATATCATCAGTTCCCACAAGCATACTCCATACTTGTTTTCAAATAGTAATAACTATTAAGTACTAACATCTTTAAAGCAAACACAAAAAAAACTTATTTCAACCAGCTAAACTGAAGAATTTGTATTTTCTTTAAAAGACTTCATAAGAAACTCAAGATATTTTGGATGTATTTATCAAATATATTAAATCAAATCTGAACAATAATCTTGCACTTTTACAAAAATCGTACATCGTTTTGAACATTCTTAAGAAGAGTCCTATCCTGTCAAGATTCACTAAATAAATTTCAAATAAGCAAACTTCAACAAAATCAATCTGCAATTCAAGCAGTTTCATAAACAGAAAATTCCAGTTTTATATCCAGTCATACTAGTGATAGATTCTTGGTCTCCACTGACCTGTTTGGACCATTGAATCTTATTTTAAATTCTGTGCAATTAAATCTCCACAAGATTAATTACAGCTTTTGCATTTGTGACATCTTTCAAAGGTTCTGAATGTTGGAAGAATCGGTGTTTCAACTATTTCACTTAATTTTTCACTATTAATTGCAATCTCATATACTTTTAAACAATTTTGAGCATGATTCAATACAAGACACATCAGTGAAATGAATAATGTTGCTGCAGAGGCCAGTCTTTAAAGTTTTGTTTTGCAGGAAGGTAGCTTTAGAAAGTTGTGTTCATACCTAAAAATAAAACAAAACAATCTAGTAAGACAGATTAAGCATGGTTTGTGCTTCTTTGATTTAAAAAATCTTAACAGGAGGAAGATAACTCATTAAAATAACATTTTCATTGTTTTGTATTACATGTCCATAGCTAACATTCTTAGAATTAATGGTATAATTAGTCTGATTTAATTATATTAAAATATTGTATATCAATTAAATGTCAAATTTCATTCATTACAGCAAAATATTTTTACTAATCAACTACTGAATTGATCAAAACCTTTTGCAGTTAATTCAAAAAGAATGCATATATTTTAAACATACCAAGAATAAAAGGTTGGCCAAGTGAACCAAGTTAATCAAATAAAATCCAGTTATTTTTGTGCGGCATTTTTCTCCTGAAATTTCTGCTACTTTGTGAATCCCTAAAAGCTAAAACCACAGCTTCTTTCCAAAGATTCTTGATTCTTATCGAAACTGAAGATCTTCCCTCAATCTGCAGCTGTCAGTAATTCAATTTGTTAACAAGAAACATTGTAGACTGTGAGCAGTCATCAAATTCTATCCTTTGTTTTCAGACCCTTGGCTAACAAGAAGGTTTCTTTTTTAAAAAAGGCAAAAGAAGAAACAATCTCCAGAGATTATTTTCCTTTGTGTTGTGTGCATGTGTTTCAGATTGAGGGGATATAGTTCTAATTTCACATTAAACCATGCCACTTGATTTAAAAAGGTTTGGGTTATAATGAAGATTCTTATTAGTTCATTAAAATATCTTATTACAAGTCACTTTTATTCTGGATAGTAATACAAAAAGGGAGATCAAGTGGCCTTTTTGACAGTTGATTCAACATATTTATACTAATGTGCAAATGGACAAGGGGGGTTTGATTATCAACACATTACTTACATCAGTTGTATCAGGGTGCACATGGTCAAATTTTTCAAAGTGGATGAGTTGGAGAAGATAACACACACCCAAATTATACAAGTGAAGAAACAGGTTGTATGATAGACAGGTTTTCTGTTCTCTTTGAAAAGAACTAAAGAACAAGTTTTCAGTTTGGGTAGTCAGTATTAAATCATTTGACATGGGTAGACTCAATTTCTGGGTGGGATGGAAATTGTCTGACAAAAGAGATAGATACTAAACAATACTATCATGTCATTACAGCCTCCTGAACTTGTATCGACTGCCTTGGAGGAGAATTTACAATACCTTTTTTCCAATCATAGAATCTCTAGTGTGGAAACAGGCCTTTCAGCCCAGCAATTCCACACCAAAACCGCCGAAGAGCATCCCACCCAGACCCAGCCCCCTACACTTTTCCTGTAACCCTGTATTTTCTATGGCTAACACACCTAAACTACAGAGATAGTAGGAACTGCCGATGCTGCAGAATCTGAGATAACAAGGTGTAGAGCTGAATGAACACAGCAGGCCAAGCAGCATCAGAGGAGCAGGAAAGCTGATGTTTCGGGCCTGGACCCTTCTTCAGAAATGGGGGAGGGGAAGGAGGTTCTGAAATAAAGAGAGAGAGAAGGGGAAGTGGATGGATGATGGATAAAGGAGCAGATAGGTGGAGAGGAGACAGACAGGTCAAAGAGGCAGGGATGGAGCCAGTAAAAGTGAGTGTAGGTGGGGAGTTAGGGTGGGGATAGGTCAGTCCAGGGAGGACGGAAAGGTCAAGGAGGCGGGATGAGGCTGGTAGGTAGGAGGTGGGGGTTGGGCTTGAGGTGGGAGGAGTGGATAGGTGGGAGGAAGGACGGACAGGTTAGGGAGGCGGGAACGAGCTGGGCTGGTTTTGGGATGTGGTCAGGGGAGGGGAGATTTTGAAGCTTGTGAAGTCCACATTGATACCATTGGGCTGCAGGGTTCCCAAGTGAAATATGAGGTGCTGTTCCTGCAACCTTCGGGTGGCATCGTTGTGGCACTGGAGGCGGCTCAGGATGGACATGTTGTCCAAGGAGTGGGAGGGGGAGTTTAAATGGTTCGCGACTGGGAGGTGCAGTCATTTGTTATAAACCAAGCGTAGGTGTTCCACAGAGCGGTCTCCAAGCCTCCACTTGGTTTCCCCGATGTAGAGGAGGCCACATCGGGAACAGCGGATACAGTACACCACATTAGCAGATGTGCAGGTGAACATCTGCTTGATGTGGAAGGTCTTCTTGGGGCCTGGGATGGGGGTGAGGGCGAGGGGGGAGGTGTAGGGGCAGGTGTAGCACTTCCTGCAGTTGCAGGGAAAAGTGCCGGAGGTGGTGGGGCTGGTGGGGAGTGTGGAGTGTGGAGTGGACAAGGGAGTCACGGAGAGAGTGGACCCTCCGGAAGACAGATAAGGGTGGGGAGGGAAAAATGTCTTTGGTAGTGCGGTCAGATTGCAGATGGCAGATGGCAGAAGTGCCGCAACTCATCCCTCACACCCCCTCCCCGCAACAACAACCAAAACAGAATCCCTTTCATCCTCACGTACCACCCTACCAACCTCCGGATCCAACGCATCATCCTTCGGCACCTCCGGCATTTCTGAATAAGGGTCCAGACCCTAAACATCAGCTTTCCTGCTCCTCTGATGTTGCCTGGCCTGCTGTGTCCATCCAGCTCTACACCTTGTTACAACTAAACTACACATCTCTGAAGACTATGGATAATTTAGCATAGCTAATCCACCTAGCCTGCACATCTTTGGACTGTGGAAGGAAACCTGAGCACCCGGCAGAAACCCACACAGACACAGGGACGATGTGCAAATTCCACACAGACAGTCGCTCAAGGGTGGAATCAAACCTGGCTCCCTGGCATTGTGAGGCAGCAGTGTTAACCACTGAGCCACTATGCCGCCTCTTCCATCTCTATCCCCACCTTGATGAACTTTGCATTTTTGATTATTTTTCACTTCTCCCAAAAAAACACAGTACTTTGAACATCAAATTTGCATCTCCATAACATTTTATAAACGTGAAACATCTTAGAACATTTTACTGTTGTAGTCAAAATTTGACAATTAAGGAATGAAAGGCATTTTTTTAGTAGCTTTATAAAACTTCCATACAACTCAAAAGATCTTTTTCATTTGTGATAAATTTTCAAAATAAGATCAATTAACTACACCAAGGACTTAGCAATATTTAAAATTTACAAAACCATTGCCAAATTTGGAAGGCTTCTATTAGTTACAAAAATGAAATGCATATATTGCTAAATAAAGATTTTAGAAAAATCAATACTCACATTCTGTTGAATAAGTAGATTCAAATTTCTCAAAGGTATCTTCATTTAGTAAAATGACTGCAAGCTCATTTTTATGAAACTGTTGCTCTAAAACAGGTTCAGTCGGTACTTGAATGTTCTCTGCAGAACTAATAGTATCTTTGATTGAGGAGTTCTCAATTCCTTTCAGAAAAGCTGCATGTCCTGCAGAAACTAAATCTTCTGCAACATTCTTGTTGTTTATGACAAGATCTACCTCCCAGAGCAACACAGATATACACTGTTTGAAAAATATGGTCAAAGTCTGCTCGTTTAAGGAGTTTTGAAAGAAAATTATAGCTTCATCTGTCCAGTTATGCCCAACTGAAGGCACAACATTACTTAGACTACAGGGATTAGTCAAGCGTGGTACTTCTGCAAGTTCTGTTGGAAGTTCTCTCAGTCTGCTCAAATCTGAAGATGGTACGAAAATATAATGCCCATAATCAACAGCTCTAACAATAACAAATTGCTGAGAGACTTCATATATTTCCACCCTAGACCACTGCTCATCTGTAGCAGACTTGATTAGGCAAGTTACACCAGGCTTCAATATGTCTTGAGGTAAAGGATGATAATCCTCTGACAATTCAGCCAACAGTAATGAGAGTGTTTCCATTGCTTCAAATGTATCTGCAAGCTGAATGTAGAATTCTGAAGGGTCAATCACAGAAGTAGCAAAGCCAGTATATTCTATTCTCGTCTGGATACAGCTGCACAAAATTGGGTTCAATGATGAGCATAACACACTCTTATCAACAGGAAGCAAATTTTCTGGTGACACCAAACATTGTTTATTTGCCATTTTGTTCTCCATTTCTGCAAAACTAATTTCCTTCATCAATCCATCAAAACCAGGTGAATAATTTTTTGAAGCACGAATTAAGTCATTTTTGTGGACCATTACAGGAAATGTTTCAGTAAGAGAAACAGCATCTTGGTTAATCTCAACCTCCACGAATCTAGAATCCAACTTTCTTAGCAATTTGATAACTTCCTGGTCAGTTAACAGAATCACAGGGTATATTATATATTTAGTTAATAGATGCTTAACTTTTTCAAAGGCATTCTGTTGACACACAATGATTTGTTCAACGATGCTGTCCTTTTGTAGTTTGGGCCACTGCAACATCATCATTCTATTTTGTGCTGCAGGACTGTTTTGTACAAGACGACAAAGTTTAGTAAAAGGCAATGTTTTCCTGGAGGTAATCACATCATGAGCTGCCTTCTTAATCTTCCCCTGACGGATTGCAGCCTTGACTGTCTGGTCTGTTTCACCCAAATTCTTTCTGTTGCATGTTTTTTTCAGTCTTGCAAGATGTGCAGTAAATTTAGGGATAATTTCATTTTGGCAATTCCTTTTATTTTTGAAACGTTTTCCAACCATACATCGCGCATTTTCCTTTCTAAGGTTGCAGTTCTGCTCTTTATTTTTATGTCCGACATAATGTTGGTCTGTATTCAAAAAGGAGCGGATCAGTCTGTTTGTTTCTTTGATTAAGTGCACTAAGCAATCAGGTTGCTTCCTTATCAGTTGTTCTGTGGAAGGAACTATTTTTGCTGGATGAAGAGAATTGCCACTTTGCCATTTTGTTTCATCAAGGCACATTATCTCTCTTCCATACTGATAAGGTATGCACTGGCCTGTTATTTGTGCACTAATTTTTAAACTTCCATCATAAAGCTCAAGAATTAATTGACCATCAGACTTTTTTGCTACAACAAATGCTGTTAGTGGTTTTCCCATTACAGCCTGTTTAAACCAGACAAGAGTTTCATCAGACAGTTTCTGACGACAAAGGGACAAACGGCATTTAACTGCTTGCATTGGTATCAAAATCAAACCCTTTGCATCTTCAGGAATTGGAGCAACGTCATTCTTATCAACTACCTCGGTGTTGCCATAGTCTATAAAAAACACCTTAAAATGTTCAGGTGATTGCACAGAACGGGCTATAGCACGATACCACTGACCGTCTTCAAAATATTTAGCTAAGCACATACTGGTTTTATCCAAATCTAATCTTTGTCCTTGCATTTTTTCACTAACAGTGTCCACCTCAGTCTTAAGTGTATCCATAACTACAGTATTTTTGTCCAATTGGCAATAGAATTTTGACAGACTCGACACATGGGTTACATACACCTTCTCTTCACTTCCAACTTTTATATCATGGGCACTGTAATACGGTGTGTATAATTGAATTGAGGGATTAAATGAAGATGGTGATTCAATGCAAGTAGTTAGTCCCATATCCAAAAGTAACTGGCATACATTAATAAATGGTGTATGAAGGTCTACCACATTACACAGACCTTTTCCATCCATCAGAGCCATTGCGAATATTGTGCATTTAAGACTATCCCCAGAAATTAAACAATTGTCAATGAATTGTTTAAATTTGTTGCAGGAAGCATGATCCCAAACAGGAGGATCATGGCTTACAGGTTGAACAATGTTGTTAAGAGTGCATCTAAATGCCTGTCCTTCTAGATGGAGAAATTCTTGATTAATAGCAAAAAGATTTTTGATAGATATTTTTTGCTGGATACCATAATCAACAAACAATATAGTAACCTCTTCTTTTCGAAAGTTGCTTTGAATAACTGATGCTCTATACCACTGACCATCTTTGGCATGCTTTACAACACAACCAGTGTGCTCAAATTGAAAAGTATCTCTTGGAATACTGTAGTAATGTTGCATATTCCTCATAAGCAATTTAAGCTGATTGGAGTTATTCTGCAGTTGACACCAAAATTCTGCTGGAGAATTTATATGACTCACTCTCACATCAAGAACAGACCCAAGTTTAAATACTTGTTGTCTATACGGTGATGCTATTTTGGACTCTTTAATCCATGATGGCAGGTGAAGATGTACACGTGGAAAGCTATTATGCATTGCAATAGCTGGAGATAAAGTAGTGGACACTGAGGTATTTGAAAATGGAACACTGCATGAACTTTTCAACTTCCAGTTTTTATCTGTATATATCCTTTTCTCACTTGTAGTTGATTTGGCTGTTCTGGATTTTGGAAATTTCCATTGACATTTCTGTTCAAATAACATAACATTCGGCTGTACATTCCAAAAATCAGCATACCCAGCTTCAAGCATCATTGTGCTAATAGATGACTGCTCCCTGCACTCCATATCTTTAATTTCTACGACATATCTGCTGCCCTGCCTTGAGACTACATCAATAAAAAGTTTCTTGTTGAATACAGCTTTCTTAAAGAAGTTAGTTGCATCTTTAGTCCACACTTCCTCAATGGGAAAAACATGAGCAATAGAACAATTCAATGCCAAAGTAGGCAGATTCGTGTACTCAGGAGGCAGTAATTTCACAGCACCAAAATCTACAACTTCAGCATTTCCAAAGTCAACAAAAAATACTCTGAGTTGGTCATCAAGTACTTCTTTAATAACTGCTCTGTAAAAATGTAGGTCTTTGCTATACCTAGCGCAACAAAATAAACCAGGTACTGGTTTCTGAATTCGCCCTTCATTTATGCCAATTTTGCTGTAGTGGTTTTGAATGTTGATCATTAAGCATTCAAACTCATCATTGTACTCTGATGTTCGAATCCAAAAATCAGATGGGTTAATTACATATTCAACAAATCCAACATAGGAAGAATTTATTTTCATCTCATTGGATCTTACAGAATGTTGTATTGGCTTACATGTCTCTTTCCCAGTTCCTTTCCACTTGGTTTCTCGAAGTTTTCTAATTTGTCCATTGCTATCCCTAGTTTCTTTCTTCTTTGGGCTACACTCAATCTCTGGATTTATTTCTGACATTATTCCATTTACTTGATGGATGCTTATGTCTTTAATCTTGTAGAGTGTAACATAGTACAAGTGGTCTTTAGAGGAATAGGAATCGATGCAAATAGTTAATGTTTCCTCAAACAGTGATTCCTTCAAAATGTCAGTCTGCAAACTTATCCATTGTTTAGTCTGATTTGATAAGCCAGTTAGTGCACAAGGAAATGAAATCAGAGGCATCATAAAAAAAGCTGGCATCAATTTTTTAATATAATTTGGAAAGACAATTTCAGTCCTTCCATAATCCATGAACCAAACTTCTACCTGGCCAGAGGTTAAGAGTTGCTTTACAACTCCCCTGTACCATCTTCCATCTTTGCCTTTTACAGCACAAAGTGCACCAAAATTGTCAACAGGTCCATCGTTTAATTCTTTTCCTTCAGTTTCATAGTAGCATTGCATGTCTCTGGCCATTGCTTCTAGCTCCGGAGCCAGCCTTTTCAACTGGCAGTAGAAGTTATGAAGCCCTAAAGCACACGTTATTTTTACCGTCTCTGTAACACCAGTTTGCAAACTTGGGCTCAAAACATCCAGGATTCGTTGGAAACTTGGAGATAATATAATTGTTTCGTCAAATACAGGTTTCCTGCAGCATTTCTGCATATACAGAGGTTCAGTAATCTCATAACCAGGTAATCCTAGTAAATCTTTTGAAATTTCCATTAGAAAATTGAAAGTATTACCATCAATAATTTTTGCTAAACCAAGTTCAAAGAGTTTTTGGTTAATATCAGGGACTTCCACCAAAATAATTTGGTATTTCAAGAGTGCTTCAACATAGCCTCTGATTCGGGAAGTTGTCAGTGATGAAAAATATTTGGCTGCTGTTGTGGACCATATCCCTCTTACTGGCACTATATTGGCAAATATGCCACATACCACTTTTGGAGGCAACTGGAACAAATTCTTAGTAGCAGCAGCAATATGTCTAGAATCAACCGTCAACACCATCCCAACATCTATGAGAAATACTTCATATGATTCTTCATCCTTTCTTATTACCCTTCCTCGATGCCATCCGCCATTGTAAAGGTCCTCTGCGAAACAAAAGTCATCAACTGCAATGTTGGTGCTAGTCTTTGCTGCGTTCTGTACTTCATTATGCAATATATGATAATCCAATTCACATATGTTGTTGTACCGACCCCAGAAACGTACTAATATTTTATCTGGATAACACTCCACACGGGTTATATTCAGATCAAGGAGTGAAGAGTGAGGAGGTGAAGTAAAGGTTGACCACATAAGGTCTGCAAAACAAAAGTTTGAAAAAATTATAGAAAGTAGAATACAACATGGGCAACTGCAGATCTTTGACAATCTACCTTAATTTAAAATAATTAAAACAACCTTTTTTTTGTTGATGCACAGATTTTGTGTTGATGTACAGAAATTAAACATAGCAAACATTTTTGATTGTCAGAAAAACCATCTGGTTCACTAAAGTCCTTTAGGGAAGAAAACTGTTATCCCTACCTGGTCCGGCCTACATGTAAGTCCAGACCCACAGCAACATGGTTGACTCTTAACTACCGTCTGAGCAATTAGGGATGGGCAATAAATGCTCACCTCGCCAGTAATATCCTCATCCCATGAATGAAAAAACAAAATCAAATGAATAATTACAAGTAGAGATGAATTATATAAAAGACACACAGCCAAACACACTTTGGCTGATCATTACTCTTAAAGAGACTACAACCTTATTCTTGTGAACAATTGTTACATGAAAAAATCTGCACCGCGAAACGATAATACTGAAAGAATGGAAGAACTTGCACATATATCACAACTTTCACTTCCTCACGACCTTCCACAATCTATGCAGCCAACTGATTACCTTTAAGGTTTTAGGAAGGAAAATGTGATATCATACTTAACAGTTTCTACAGGCAAAAAATGCAATTAGTGACTTGTTAATTTTTTTTGAGGGATAAATGTTGACCAGCTGAAAGGGAGAACTCTCCTACCCTTTCCTAGGCAACAGGTGGACGTATGGAATATCGATGTAATTTATACGCTTAAGTCCAAAATTAAGGCTTGTAAGTTTTAAGCCAGCAATGAAAATGCTGTCACTTTAGTACTAATATGTTTGATTTACTCAGTTAAAAATATGTAAATCTCTACAAAAAATAGAATTTTCACAGGTCATCACAATGTATCCTGTTCCTATATTTAAAGACATATTTACAGTAATTTAGTATCATTAACTTTCTTGAAGTTAAGGTCTATAGCTCATAACATTAGAAGTTGAGAGATATGACCACCAAAGGACTCTTCATAGAGTAAGAGAGTAATAGAGTCATACAGCATGGAAACAGACCCTTCAGTCCAACTGATCTATGCTGACCACAATCCCAAACTAAACTAGTCCTACCTGCCTGCGCTTGGCCCATATCCTTCCAAACATTTCTTATTCATGTATTTATCTGAATGCATGTTAAATGTTTTAACTGTATCTGCATCCACCACTTCCTCTAACCACTAATCCACACTAACCATTCTGTAGAAGAGTTGTCTCTCCTCTCACCTTAAAAATATGCTCCCTCATCTTGGAATCCCCCACCCAAGGGAAAAGGCATCTGCCATTCACCGTATCCTCACGATTTTATAAACCTCGAGAAGGTCACCCCTTCAACTCATTTATAACAAAAATGAGAAAACCTCCTGGTTTTCAGATATAACTATTTGGATGTATCTTCACAAACATCTCTATCTGGTCATTCTTTCCACACATTGAAAAGGTTCCTTAAAATGCAACTATGATGATGTAATCAGAGGTCTTCGGTAACAACTTATGAAACATGAAAAATAATGATCATTACCAGATAAAGAGCATTTTACAAATCCTCAAAGATAAACACTAATTCTTCCATAGTTTTAAACTAATCAAAACTAATAGCCAATTGACAGTGAAAATTTAATTTTTGTACTTCAATGAGCAGGATGGTTAATAAGTCGTTTGAATTCAATTAACTAAGTTGTAGTATATTCAGGAACATACCATTTACAACCTGTACTTAAATTAGGCCTCTTCACTCAAGTCATAATGTTTCTAATTTTGCTTACCATACACAGTTAAGTGGGAATGTAAGATGTGAGGAGATTGCAAACAGTTATTGACAAGTTAAGTGGGCAGGCAATTAGGTGGCAGATGGAGTACAGTGTGCTGAAATGTGATGTTTCATTTTGCTCATCAAGAATATTCTGCCTTCCAATTTTTAGGAGTGTGAAAATTGAAAACTTCATGCAGCAAGATTTGGGTGTACTCATAAACAACACAGTTATTCTGCAGGTATAGCAAGTAATTAAATTGGCATATTGGCATTTATTACAAGGGGTTTGGAGTATATTGATTTATTGTAGTCACATGTATCAAGATACAGTGAAAAGCTTTGTTTTGCCAGCATTACAGGTAGATCATAGCAACAAGGACATACAGATCATAGGGTGTTTAGACAGAGCAAGGCACAGTGCTCATGGTATCGGAGGTAATGTATTGACACGGATAGAGAACTGGTTTGCAGACAGGAAGCAGAGAGTTGGAATAAAAGGCTCCTTTTCAGAGTGGCAGGCAGTGATGAGTCGGGTGCCACAGGGTTCAGTGCTGGGACCCCAGCTGTTCGTGATATACATTAACAATTCGGATGAAGGAACTGAATGCAATTTCTCCAAATTTGCAGATGACACTATACTGGGTGGTAGTGGGTGCTGTGAGGAGGATGCTAAGAGGCTGCAAGGTGACTTGGACAGTCTGGCTGAGTGGCCAAATAAGTTGCAAATGCAATATGGTGTGGATACATGAGAGGTTATCCACTTTGGTGGCAAAAACAGGAAGGCAGATTATTATCTGAATGGTGGCAGTTTAGGAAAACGTGAGGTGCAGTGAGACCTGGGTGTCATGGTGGAACAGTCGCTGAAGGTTAGCATGCAGGTGTAGCAGGTGGTGAGGAAAGCTAATGGTATGCTGGCCTTCAATGTTACAGGATTTGAGAATCGGAGTAAGAATATCTTGCTGCATTATACAGGGCCTTGGTGAGGCCACACCTTGAATATTGTATGCAGTTTTGGCCTCCTAGTCTGAGGAAGGACATTCTTGCTATCGAGGGAGTCCAGCAAAGGTTCACCAGGCTGATTTCCAGGATGGCACGACTGACATATGAGGAATGAGGATCTACTGGGCTTGTATTCACTGGAATTAAAAAAATGAGAGAGTATCTTATAAAAACATATAAAATCCTGACAGGACTGGACAGGCAAGATATGGGAAGAATGTTCCTGATGTTGGGAAGTCCAGAACTAGGGGTTACAGTCTAAGAATAAGAGGTAAGCCATTCAGGATTGAGATGAGGAAGAATTTCTTCACTCAGGGTTGTGAACTTGTGGAATTCTCACTCACAGGAAGCTGTTGGGGCCAATTCATTAGATATATTCAAGAGGGAGCTGAACATGGCCTTTGCGGCTAATGGGTTCAAGGGGTATGGAAGAAAGCAGGAATGGGAGACTGAGTTTGCATGATCATATTGAATGATGGTGCAGGCTCGAAGGGCCAAAAGGCCTATTCCTGCACCTATTTTCAGTCCTTCTATGTTACAGTTGCACAAGAGGTGCGCAAAGCAAGATTAGTATGATTTCCAGTAAAGAGTCCATGCAGCAGTCTAATAACAGCAGGGAGAAGCTGCTATTTATAGGCATTTGGCAAAACATTTTGAACATTCCATTCAATTTTGTTTTCCACCTTTAAGAGATACTTGATTGGAGACAGTACAACTTAAGATCACTAGACTGGTTTCTGAGATGAGAAGATTATCTAACGATGATACTCTGGAGTTTACAAGAATGAGAAGTGACCTCGTTGAAAAAAAATGGTGATTCCGATGGAGTTTGATAGTGTAAACAGAAGTGTTTCCCTAAACCAAGTAATGTAGAACATGGGTCACAATCTCAGAATAAGGAGTTGATCACATAGGAAAAAGGTGAGAAGTTTCTTTCCTCACAGGATTATGAATCTTTCAAATTGATCAGGAAAAGGCAGTAGTGTAGGGGTCATGTCACCAGACTAGTAATTCTGAGATCCAGGAACACAGGTTCAAATCCCAACAAGGTAGCTGTTTATGTTCCAGATGTATTAAGTTAGTCTATGAGACTACCATTGATTTCCTCAGCATCAGCATATCAGCCATTCTCATTTGATTTAGTCCACATGTGACTCCAAATCCACAGTAACATGGTAATGTGGTTGACTCTTAACCACTCTACCAGTGGGGAGATGATGGCATGGTGATATTTCTATGGGTAATAATGGGTTTGAATCCTACAATGTCAGATGTTCAAATTGGAGTTCAACAAAAATTTGGAATAAGAGTCTAATGATGACTATGAAACCATTGCTGATTGTCAGAAAACCCAATCTGATTGGGAAGAAAACTGTCATCCCTACTTGTTTTGGCCAACATGTGACTCCAGACCCACAGCAATGTGGCTAACTCTTAACTGTCCTCTGGGCTGTTAGGGATGAGCAACAAATGGTGGCCTTGCCAATGAAAGCCCCATCACCTGAAAGAAGAATAAACCCTATATGGTTCTGGATACTCTATCATTAACAGGACGTAAGGAGGCAGAGTGATGCAGACAAGTTGAATGTGTAGACAAACACATGGCAGATTCAGTATAACATGGATAAATGTGAAGCTATACACTTTGGTGTGAAAAACAGAAAATCCATGTATCATTTAAAAAATGATATACTGGGAAATGTGATTCACAAAGCGATGTCTGCACGCGTGCAATGAAAGTAAATAGGTAGGTGCAGCAAGCAATTAAGAAGATAGACAGTACGTAGGCCCTCACTGCAAGCGGGTTTAAGCTCACAAGTAAGGATGTCTTATTGCAGTTATACAGAGCCTTGTTAAGACCACACCTTAAGTATTATGTGCAGTCTAACAGAGGTTATATTTCCATAAGTTGAAATATATGACTATCAGCCAAGTGAACCTTCACTATTGCAGAGAAGGTTCACTTAGCTGAGAGTGGCGATGACAGAACTGTCAAAGGAGAAATCGATTCAACTGGGCCTATATTCACTGGAGTTTAGAAGAATCCGGGCAGATCTAAAGAAACTGGTGCAGTGCTTATGACATAAAACTGCTGAAATCGATCCGATTCTTCTCAATGGAAGAGTGTGGCAGCCCAAGTACAGAAAGGTCAGGGTGGGAGTGGGGTGCAGCATCAATATATCAGCTCAC